TACTTTTACTATTTTTTAATTTACTTAACAACATTTCCATATTTTAAAATTCAAAATTTTTCGCGAGAACTGCCTTAAGTCACTTCTTAAAGTTAATTTCTGTGCAAATTATTGCAAGTTATATTTTGTACTAGTGATATTTATCCTATAGACAATTCAACAGCTAACTTTTGTTTAGATTTTTGCCAACCAAAAATTTTGTGTTTGTTTTAAATTAAAAATCTTTGCGAAGTAAATTATTTCGATATTACGTAAAATGCAGAGGATTTTAACTATTTTAGAAGCTTTAATTCTAGTTTAAAACCAAAATTTTTAAAAATATCGGCGGTAGAAATATCACAATTTTTTTCTTGCAAGTTTTTATTAGTAAAGCGTTTATTTTCTTTTTTACTAATTTTGAGAATAATTGTAAATTTTACTCTCTCGTTGCAAGTATTTACTGGGAAAGTAAATGAACAGACCTAATGTAAAACAAAGTTCTTCAATTTATTATAATATTTTAAAGTTTTGTCGCTAAAACTCATCAATAAAACAAAAAACCCCTGAAAAAGTTTGAAAAAAGAAAAGGAAAGAAATTTTCAGATTTTGCAAAATAACGTAAACAACAACATACAAACCGTTATTAACAAAGAATGCATAAACAAGTTAGAGAGCTGTATTCGGCTGAGCCAAATATTAAATACCCTCCACCAGCTTCTTTTATATTAATAACCTTTTAGTTAATCAAATATTTATGGAAATAGGGTTTCTCATCTTTTCTAATAGAAGATTTAAATATTTTAAATCTGTTACAATTGCAAGTTTTTTCACAGCATTATAAACACGATTTTCTATAATATTTTATAGCGCCTTAATAACTTTAATAACTTCCAGGTATGCATGTGTGTGAAATATTTAAGAAAATTTATATGTTTAGCGTTGCCACTGACCAAAGTTTAAACCTACCACATTTTTGTCAAAAAACTTACCAAATTTTGAAAATCATATTAAATTATTTTTTTTAAAAGTGTGCCTTATTTATTAAGGTATTTCGTCGCCTAAAACGTAAAAGGGTGTTAAACTATGTATAAACGGTTATTAGATCTAACAATATTGGCAGACAAATTTTCAGAAAATGTCCATCGTTCGTGTCAACTTACAATTTTTAGATATTTTCTGAAAATTTTTTAGCCATCTTTGTAAGATCTAAAAACCAAGTATCACAGCTTTTATGATACATTAGGTCGTTCTCGAAGAAATTTGTGATAAAATTAACATAAATTGTTTTAAAAAATTAATGGCTCTAGAAAAATCTGTTGTTTTCAATCCTCAAGTCCTGTTATAAGGCGCTATTCCGTTTAATGATAAAAAATGTAATAAAATTTTGATATACAAAAATTGCAATAGTTTAATACAGTAAATAAACGTATAATTAAATTGTTAATATTCTTTAAAAGTACGTGTTTTGACAAACATACCAAAAATCGATTTAAACTACCATCCTACCAAATGAAAAAAATCCTACCAAATTTGTTAGGAAAAGCCCAAAATGGCAACGATGGTACTGTTCATAATTTGTTTATACTAAATTCATTTTACTAAAAAAATTACAATTAATTATATACGGTTAAAGTGTTTTTACCAGGGACCGAAAATAATTGTTATACCCTACACCACTTTAGTGGGAGGGTATATTGGGTTTGTGCTGATGTTTGTAACGCACAATAATATTGGTCCTATACCTACCTTAAAGTATACGAATCGGCTTAGAATCGATTTAGCTATGTCCGTCCGTCTCCTTGTAATCAAACTACAATTTTGAAGATAATTCAATGAAATTTGGTACATGATCTTCTGTTGTCCCAGGGGCGAAGCCTATTGAAAATGGTTAAGTTCGGTCCATTATTTCACCTAGCCCCCATACAACTGAACCACCGAATAGGGCTTGTAAACCTTATAATCAAACTACAGGCCGCAATTTTGGAGATAATTCAATGAAATTTGGTACATGATCTTCTATGGTACCGGAAACGAAGCCTATTAAAAATAGTTAACATTGGTTCATTTTTTTACCTAGACCCATACAACTGAACCCGCCGAATAGGCCTTTTAAGCTCTTAATTATATACTCCCATCTCGACAAAAAGATGTAAAACCAAGTTCTTTTTTTAATAACCCTCATGAATTTTATAATTATAGGGCCTCATTTGACCCTAATTAATTATGTTTAATATACTCCTATCTCGACAAAAAGCTGTAAAACCAAGTTCTTTACTAGCCATAATAACCCTCATGAATTTTATAATTATAGGGCCTCATTTGACCCTACAAAAAGCCCCCTTCAAAATTTGACTTATATGTCCACAATAAATGGTTAAGTATATCTGAGACAAGGTACAATTTAACTGAAATGCTCCATTATGAAAACTAAATCACATTTTATTTTTGTAACAGGTGTAGGGTATTATATGGTCGGCCTCGCCCGACTATAATTTCTTACTTGTTTTCTTTTGAAAGAAAAGGTTACGCAAAGAATACCTTTATTTTATTTAGGGACTTTTTAACTATTATTATAAGATTTATATTATTTAGGTCTCCGTAACCTATTAATATGAGAAATATATTTTTCTGGTTATGAATAGCTGTTATTCAGAAACCAATATTTTTTTGGTTATAGATAACCAAAATTTATTTAATTTATTTTTGGTCCATATAAATATTAACGAAATTAAAAGGCAAATTAATTATAACCTACGCCACCATAGTGGGGAGGATATTATACGTTTGTGCTGATGTTTGTAACGCACAAAAATATTGGTCCTACACCCACTTTAAAGTATACCGATCGACTCAGAATCACTTTCTGAGTCGATTAAGCCACGTCTGTCCGTCCGTCTGTCCGGCTGGCTGTCCATGTAAACCTTGTGCGCAAGGTACAGGTCGCAATTTTTAAGATATTTAAATGAAATACGTGTTTTTCGGACTAACGACGAAGCCTATTGAAACTGATTATAATCTGTCCAATATTTCACCTAGCCTCCATACAACCCTACCCCCCGGAAAGGGCTTTTGAGTTCATAATTATGTTAAATATTGTAGTATCTCTACAAAAATCGGCAAAACTTAGTTCTATATACGTCTTAATAATACTACCAATTTTCATAATTATCGGACTTTATTTGACCCTAGCCACCATACAAAGTCCCCTTCAGAAAACGACTTGAAGGTCAATAATTCCCTAATAAACACTAGTATCACGATGAAATCCAGCATACATAACTCTAATGTAAACGTAAAGCCATGTACCAAAATTTATAAGGATATTTACCCTTGCCCCATATAACCTCTCTTTTAGATCACCTTTTTCAACAAATTGTTAACATATTTCGGAATTAAGGTAAACAACTTAAATGCTTTGTTATTAATTATAATCCACATTTTTAACATACTCAGTGGTGCAGGGTATCATATGGTCGGCCATGCCCGACTATACTTTCCTACTTGTTTTAATTATATTTTATTTATAAAATCAACAGAGATTTGTTGCAAAACGATAATTGTTATTCGTAACCAAAAAAATATATTTTTCATTGGTATTGGTTACGATGATATCTTATAATAATGGTTAATTATAACACTTATTTTAAATCCATCACTATTAATTATTTAATGAGACCTTTTCGTCATTTTTCTTATAACCGTTACGTCCCTGGTTTTTACAGTAACATTTCTGTAAAAAAAATAAAAATATATAGATATTTGATAATAAGTGATGTGCATTAAGAGATTTTCGCAAGAGGCTTTTCCGATCGAACCCATATTATGGACCGATCGTGAAAAAAATTTAAAATAACATTTTGTATACAAAAGTAATGTCAGTGTCAAATTTTGCATGGGTATCATTGTTTGATAATAGGTAATGGATAGGTAATAGGATATCTCAAATGGGAGCTGTGACAAAATATGGGCCGATCGTGAAAAAATTTTACAGTATAATTTTATATATAGAAATATTTGTATGGATACCATTAATGACTTATGTGCGTTTAAGTGATATTCGGGAGGAGACCTTGTATTCGAGCTAAGACCAAATATGTACCGATCATGAACAATTTTTAAAGTATCATTTCTATAGATAAAGGCAATATTTGTGCCTAAGTTTTTAAGGATTCCATTATTTGATAATGAGTTATGTGCGTTTAAGTGATTTTCGGGAGGGGACCTTGTATGGGAGCTACGGCCAATTATGGACTGATCCCGAAAATTTTCCCTTTTTATGAATTCTATTTACTTGTAAAAGTTTGTGAAGATATTGTCATTCTACCGGAAGTTACCAACAATGAATGCTTTTTCCGGAAATATTTACATTTGTATGAGAGGTATATGAAAATGTGAACCGATTCCGCCCATCTTTAACAAAAATCATGCTTTCATATGGAAATAATTGTGTGATTTTATAAAATTATTTCAATTAACTACATCAAATAATTCTATCTAAAAATTTGGAAAACTAAAAAAATTTTCCGAAATATTACGACATTTGTAATAATTTTGAAGGTGTATAAAAAATTTTGTGTTGTCATTAAAATCGTCTCCCAAAAACCTTTCATATGATAATTAATTTGCATATGGTTTATTTGCAAGAAATATGATAAAAGTCATAAAAACCTTAAAAATGACCTTTTTATCCTTTGATCTAGCTCACCAAATATTGACGTCAGGACAAATATTTTGACAAATGAACTAAATTTTAATTTTCGGTGGGAAAAACAGCAAACTCCATTTCCTGGGCCACCCTAATGTACATATAATAGTTATGTAATGACTATAAACAAAAAGTACTGTATATTGAAATGTTTGGCTTTGTTTAAAAAAAAAATAATTTTCATTAAACAAATTTTATATCCTACAGAACTGTAGTGCTTTTGTGCAGATCACTTTTTGAGAAATATTAAATATTATCACGATTTCTAAAAAAATATAACAATGTTTTTAAACCATTGTTGTATTTAAATACTTACATTTTGTGTTCGTCCATTTCTTGATCAATATCCATATCAATATCCATATTATGTTCGTCATCCATATCATCTAAGGTAGGGGTAGGACTTCGTGATTTATTAACTTCGTCCATTTGCTGTTGTTGTTCCTCCTCTTCTTTATCAATTGCAGTTAATGAATCAGCATCGGCTAAATTATCTACCGCAATAGCCAAGAAAACATTTAGCAATATATAATTGCCACAAATAAACAGAATAATGAAATAAATACAGGCCAAAATGCCAAATGAGAAAACACCGCCGTATGCTCTGATGCCATCGTACATAACAGCATTCCAATCTTCGCCCGTTAATATCTAGAATCGAAGTATGAAAATTTTAAATACATTTTTAAATATTAAATATAATAATGATAGTAAACACATACCTGAAACACTGTAAGAAGACTTTGATAGAAACTGTCGAAATTCCATCTAGGTTTTTCTTCTTCCGGTTTAAAAGTAAACCGACCACCAAACACTTGCATTCCCAACAAGGCAAATATCACAATAAATAGAAACAGCAAAAGTAAAAGCGATGCAATTGACTGTATGGAATTGAGCAAAGAAGCAACCAGGTTGGACAATGAACGCCAATATCTAGGAAGTATCAGAAAAGCAAAAAAGTGAAATGAAAGTAAGAAAGTGAAATGAAATACATATGTAATCTTAATTCATAAAACAAAGTCTTTTAAGATTTATTTATATTTACTGGCTGTACCGTATGTGCTTCGCTACCAACGTATTAAAGATTATAGAGATACATATTAGGGTGATCGATTATTCGACATTTTCCAAAAACCGGTTTTCGAATAGTTCGAATAGTTGACATTTAAAAAAACCGGTTGATATTTTTCAAATTCAGAAAAAACCGGTTAACCGGTTTTTCATTATAAATAAAAAAAAATATTTTTTAATTTGAAAAACTTAATGCTTATGTTTAAATTTGATTAATAAAACATGGCCCGAAATGACTTTTAACAGTTTAAAAGATTATAACTTTAGATCTAGTCGTCTGATTTACATTATTTCTTTAATATAAAAAAATTAGGAAAAAAGTGGGACACTTCTGTTAAACATAAGGTACTATGCAACCCTAGCTTATTTTAAAAGCCCTGTTTAGGAAATTTGCATAGGCATTCCAACACTTCCATAAAATTTCAGCCGTAAACTAATTATTGTAATTGGAATATAATCTTAAGATTGATAAAATTTTATCAAACAGTTATCAATTTTACAAATAAATTTTTTTAATTAATTAGGAAAATCAAAAAAGTTTAACCAAAGGATCTGTAGAAAAATATACGCTAGTTCCTCGACTCGAATATTTTTAAAATTTAATAATGATATTATTTACTTAAAATTTTCATTTAAATAATCTTTGAATACAAAGCAAATAAAAGTATTCGAAACCGGTTTTTAAAAAGTGAAAAAACCGGGTTATTCGATATTCGAAAAATCAACATTAAGAAAATACCGACACTGGTAAAACAGAAAAAACCGGTTTTAAAACCGGTTGAAAAATCGAGTCAATCACCTTAATACATATACATATTAGAATGTTCCAAACAAATGCAAACGGCTCTAAAACTTTAAGTATACAGAATCTAGTGTTTATAAAAAACCGACTTTTGGAAAAACCGGTTTTTCGGTTAACCGAAAATTTACCATTTTTAGAAACCCGGTTTGTCGATTAAACGAGTATAAAAAAAACCGGTTAAACCGGTTAACCGAAATGTTTGGAAATCTTTAAAATATTATAATATTTAGTTGAAAACTGTCATTTTGCAAAATGTTATGAATTACCTAATAAGATATTTGCACTTTTTAGTATAGATACGTACATTAATATATCATAAGAAAACAAACTTATACAGATCTGAAACGCAAAAGGGAGTAACAACACTTTTAAAAATTTTACAGGAGAGACAAAATACTAAATAAAATTAAAGTTATTTTTGTTATAAAAACGACATTTTCCTACAACATCGATCAACATCGAAAAACTATTTTGTTGCTTTTTACGACTTTCTTACTTGTGGAAATGACTTATTTGTTGTTACACCCTTTTGAATTTCACTTCAATAAAGTCGGTATTTTTAAAAATAGGATTCTAAAAATTTGCAACAACATGTATTTTGATGCAGTGTGCCATTTTCAATCAAAAAGGGAATTTAAAATTTTTTGGCTGTTATGCCTTTTTGTATTTCAGTTGACGATATGGAAGTTGCCATAGGAGGGATAAATTGATCTTTGAATATATCAATAAAAAATTATGTCCAGGAATATCAAGTATAAATAGTGTTCAGGCTCGCGACGATTCATCGGGAAACGAAATAGACGGCGACTGTCGCGACATAGACATTGAGCCCCTGCTTTAATTGTGACCTCCCTCCGCTAGCTACGCCTGTGGTTGTTCAAATTACTGTGAATGACGCTTAGGAATCAACTTGTAATGGCAGTTTGTGAAAAACCCCAGCAGCACAAATTCTCGGACAGCAACGACAATCCTTATGTTTCGATAAATAAAGTCCGTTTTGAGAACGCTTGAGTAACTTCCCGATTTTTATTATACTCACGCAGTAAACAAGTAAGTGCATCCTGCATTTTATCATCAAAGTTATTTATTCGTCTTAATAAATAATAAATTTCTTCATATAATGGTTGGAATTTGTTTAAATAGTTAATTTTTTATTGGTTTAAATGCCAATCTCCATTTTATATACATAATATATGTTTAAAATTTCCTAACATTTGTTTAACAATCTTAGTCCTGTTTTCATATGCACAAACGGAAAATAATGTTTAGAATTATCTATCTAAAATTTTTAAAAATCACAATAAAAAAATCAAAGAAAACATATAATTTTGTACTAAAAATTTGATTTTTTTGAAATTGGTTAACCGAGTAAGAAATTATAGTCGGGCGTGACCGACCATATGATACCCTACACCAGTTATGAATATTAAATGTGATTTATTTTTCATAATAAAGCATTTATCTTCAATATTCCCTTGTTCCGATACATTTAAGCAATTTATGGATAAAAAACTAATTTTCTGAAAGAGGCTTTATATGGGGGCTAGGGGCAAATATGGACCAAGCCCGATGAAATTTTGTGAATATATTTATATTTACATAATATTTTATTGTGCTGAATTTCATCGCGATATTTGTGTTTATAAGTTAATTTGGGACATTCAAGTAATTTTCTGAAGGGGACTTTGTATGGGAGCTAGGGTCAAATGAGCCCCGATCTTTATGAAATTTGGCAGGGTCATCAAGACTTCTATAAAACTTAGTTGTGCCACTTTTTATCGATATACAGGTATATTTAACATAATTATGAGCTCAGAAGCCCTTTTCGGGGGGTTCTGTTGTATGGGGGCTAGGTGAAATAATGGACCGATTTTAACCATTTTAAATAGGCTTCGTCCTTAGGTCAAATAAAACGTGCGTGCCAAATTTCATCCAATTATCTTGAAAATTGCGACCTGTACCTTGCGCACAAGGTTTACATGGACAGCCAGCCAGACGGACGAACGGACGGACGGACATAGCTTAATCGACTCAGAAAACGATTCTAAGCCGATTGGTATACTTTAAGGTGGGTCTAGGACGAATATTTTTGTATGTTACAAACATCAGCACAAATCCAATATACCCTCCCCACTAAAGTGATGTAGGGTATAAAAAGTAAGGTAATTGAAATTCCCCCCTGCCGTTATCGTGCACTTAAATGCGATGTGACAAACCTCCCAGCAAAAACTTTCACTGAAATGTAAAATGCTGAAATTTATTTACAAAATAGCATTTTAAGTTATAACGGGGATGACATTGGAGGCAAGTACTTACCACGCTCGCTTACAAATAGGGAGTTAGGCAAGAACTTATTACGATCGACTGAAATAGGGAGTTAAGTAAGTAGTTTTGATTCTGAGAAAAAAAATTATCAACGAGGATACGTCCACTGTGTCTACTATTAGTTTTCGAAGAACAAAAAAAAAATTATCTTTTCTCTTAATAACAAAGTTTGAAAACAACATGTCAAGGCTACATACATAATAAATTATATGAAGTCATTACTAGACTCCTTCTAAGATGGTATGTAGTAGTCATTGAAAAGTGAGTTGTTGAGTAAGTATAAGTTAAAACCCTGTTTTAGCTATATCTGTTCTTATAACATAATGTATTTAATTTTTTGCACGGCAGATCTAAAATTTGAACTTCAGTCTTTTATTGAACTTTGTTAAACAATTAATTTATAATAGTTCCACTTAATATAAAAGCATTATTTAAATCAAGGTCATAATGATTAGGAGTATTATCGGAAATTACTTAAGAATAATATTTTTCAGGGAAATTTATATTTTTTTCTCTTCATTAAATTATTATTTTGCGAGTTTTATTTTCCCATTATTATTATGAACGAAAAAAATATATAATATAATTATTTTAATTCATATGGGAGTACCACGCCCCCTATTGCTATTCCGCTAATTTTTTGTCCTACATATTCATGTTGATACTAAAGTGGCTCCGAAAAATTAGAGGGCTCTTGTTGTTATATTTTCTCAGATATACTAATTTAAGATTTTCTTTATATGGGAGGTTCCACGCCTAATATAGCTAGTCCGCCCATATTGTCCCCATATGTTCATGTGGATGTCCAAGTTGTCCATACAAATCTAGCTGTTGCAGTTTCTGAGATATGTGATTTTAAATACTTATTATGTATGTGGGAGTAGCCTATAGTTCCTTCCAGGCATACAGGAAGCCACTGTGAAAATTTCAGGAAAATCGGTCCAGCCTTTTAGAAGTCTATAAAGTCCAAACAAACAAACATACATACATACAAACACACATCCATTCTTATATATATATAGATTAGCTATACCAAGTGTACTTTGCTACCCTAAAAGGAATATGTATATATAAAAATCCCACTTAACGATTTTGAAGATTCTAACTACAATAGTTTTCCAGATTTATAATATGTTACATATGAGAGATGTCAAGGAAATTATTGCAAGTTCGCCAGTTTCTATCTATCACCAATTTCTATCTATCTATAAAAAAATTGAATAATATAAGAGATTCCAAGAAGCCACCCATTGAAAGTCCGCCCGTTATGCTCTAAATGTTCACATGAATTTCAAAGTTCTTCATGTATTAATGTACTAAACACAAGAAAAAGAGCGATATAATTTTTGAAAAATAAAATTTTTTGGAAATTTGAATTTTTGTATAATATTTTTGGTTCACAATTGGATTGGAAAGGCATATTATTTTCACTGGGTGTAAAAATTTTCGTAATTTTTAGCTCATACAAAAAAATATTTAAAAAATAGTGCATTTCAGAATTTTTCAAAATTTATATGCCCCTTATAATACGAAGAAAGTCGTTTTGCGGACTAGAAATACACTAACAAACATTTTAAGTATTTTTCCCGCGATAAGCTCAAAATTATGTAGGTTTTGACACCCAATTCGAAAAGATTGCAGAAATTTTTTTTGAACATATTGTACTGAGATCAAGATTAGTACATTGAAACGCATCATTTTAGAGGTATTCCTCCTAAAAAGTGGTCCACGGGAC